TGAACCGTGACTGTTGGTGACAATGAAGAAATGGAATTCATATCTCATACTAAGCTAGTATTTTCTTTCTGCTTGCCCTTACAAATATCTGAAATAAAACAGCATAAAACCGGATACAAATTAAGACAAGGAAGCCATACTTCCAAATTAAAAATTAACTAATTTTAAATTTTGTACTGTCATGACAGATTCTATACTGCTTATTTAATCTGATATTGATATTTTAATTAATTATTTATCAACAATATGATCTAGTTATCTATCTTGTAAGTACCTAAATTATCAAAGTCGGAAATAGACTGAATAGGAGCATTCGATAATTACTATGAAATGTACAAGTCACATTGATCTGTTAATAAGAACTGTTTGCGTAATTTGTGGAATACCTGTCCCATTTAATTTGCATTTTAGCATAGATAAGTTGTAAAAATTGGTTGAGACTGTTCATAATGTTACGATATTCGCAGTCACCTACACAACTTAAAACGCTGATCAATAAGTACATTTAAAGGTAACACCATTTTCCTGGAGAAAATCTTGGAATATGAAACCAATGTCTTTTTAATCTACGTCTCCAGTTTATGTTTTATTTCCAGTTTCAGATATTTGCATAAGCAGCATTCATTTATGTCTTAAAGTGAACTCAGAACATCTCTATATAAGCATAATCTGAATTATCGATTTTATAATTGCTGCTCAATAATGAAACAACTTACGACTTCGTTTAAAGGGTGAGTTTGATATATTTGTCGTTGAGTAAAGAAATGCGGAAATTTTAAACTGGTTTCTAAGGCACGCATATTTCATGATATTTATTTTATAAGAACATTACGCACCTACCGTAATTTTTTCTAAAGCAAAATGCTTTTCATTATACAGCCCATTCATATTTTGCTTGCAAATAAAATATTTCAGAGGCAATAAACTTAAAACGAATTCTCAAATGACGCCATATAAACAAAAGTTCCTCTTCAGCAGAATGTTTTGTTATGTCAATTTAGGGATTCGTACACGTACAAGTCACTTTTCATGTCTAATTTCTTAAGACAAAAGACTTTTTATTTTAAAATTCCGCAACCTTGTAGACATTAAAGCTATTAAATACGTAACTAAAATGTTCAAATCTGAAGATAATGGTATTTCTGTACGACGTATCTCATTTTGGCATTAAATCTTTAAGATTTGTGAGCCCCGTTTTTAATTCGTTGCTACCTAGTTACGTCTCATTTCTTCGATACTTTTACTACCTTTTGCATTCCCCATTTCAATAACTGTTAACAATTATGTGCAAAGTCCTTTAATCCTTTGATATAAGACGTTCATGTATTTAGCATGACTGGAAAGATATTGCAGTACATCGACATTAAAAAGATGTTCTTCACGCCACATAATGCAAGTACTTGTTGCACTAAAGTAATCAGAGCTAACTTGCGCCATAGGTCACACTTGCACATTTCATCTAAGGTCATGCAGGTCATATACCCCCGTAGGAAAAATGACTCTCGGTCATGCATGTTGAGTATCCCCTGAGGAACAATGACTCCCTCAGCCAGTTATGCAGGTTGAGTATCCCCTTAGGAACAATGATCCCCAGCTGTGTAGGTTGATTACCCCCGCGGGAACAATAAAACCCTCCCACCCGGTTATTCTGGTTAAGTACCTCTGCGAAAAACGCGACATACAGACATAGATGGGCCCATAAGGTACTCTTCGCTCACGATAGAGCGTGAAGAACACCTACAAATGCAGTTCCAACCTCAAAGAAAGCACAATGTGGCTCTATTATAAAGATAATTGGTTATACCCAAAACTGTTCTGAGAAACAACTTCTGTGGACAAAATGTAGAGTCACTGAATGCCAAATTTGCATATAGCTAGCAATGTTCTTTATAGAGTCAAGGTTTGTCTTTTATCACTCCTCTAAGCCGTTCTACAATTAGGTCTATTACTGAAGGATGAACCAATTTACGAAGCGAGGGATACTAGTGTTTTTAAAAGTAGTTACAGAACGATAATAGGCCTATAAGAACTGAAAGTACCTTTGCTTTCCGAGACCAGCCAAGTGCTTGAAAAGGGTTACCTCAAATCCGTGGAAATAGGAATTCCAAATAGATGAATTAATTCATTCTTCAGGATGGGGCGCACGGAAAAAAAGAAAAGTTAGTTCATCAGAAGTTTGTTGACCTTGATAAGGATGGAGAATGTTGGATCAGAATATTTCGCAGACGCATGGTTCCATTTTATCCGATATCAGTGCTTAAGGTTGAGGAAAACGAGCTGTATAAACCTAAGTTCAAAATACATATTAAATTTGTAATTTTAGAATTGCACAAAAAAATCTTGTCAGGAAGTTTATGGACGAATCAGAACACGTGAAATGGCATTTCAGCTTTCTGCAACTCAATCTTTCTTACTAGCCTCTTAAATTAACAGAGGTCTCGTAAAGAAACTACAGTTTAGAAAAAATACGTATAATTCCTGTCGACTGAATTTTATGTACTATACGTACGTATAATAAAAAATAGACACGTGAAAGTAAATATTGTTTTATATAATAAAATACTTCAACGTGAATAGTTTAAAATACTATTTGTTCTGTGGTATAGCCTGTGACAGATACTATAGTGGTAATACGGAATTGAAAATATTTAACATTACTAAGCATTACTGTGGAAATTCCGAATGTAAAATAATATTCCGTATTTTTTATGGATCCGTATGTCAGCAAAACAATAAATGTGAAGAATGGAGAAGGCAGAAATTCCTTCCTTCAGAGCGGTCGCAGGATATAGAACAACGTAACACAAACGCAGTAAAGACATTCGAGAAGAACTGAAAAGAATATTGGTCATATCAATACGACAATAAAATAATTAGCAAAATAAATGGCTGGAGTATTTAAAAAAAGTCCTAAAATCTAAGCCCGAAGCTGCTTTGTTAACACAAACTCAATCATGAAGACGTCCGACAACAAATTGGAAGGAGCCCTTAAAATCAGAATAGGCTAAAATCTTAATCTGTGATGCTGTGAGATGAAAACTACGTATTTTTTATTTATGGTTTATTTGTCGACACCGCCAGTAGGTCAGACAGACATACAGCGTCGAATGATATGGAGACGAATGAATAACGATTTGGATAGGATACGGAAGGGAAAGGTCGTAGCCTGATTAAAGGTACTATTCCGGTATTTTTCTGAAAGGACTGAGCAAAATCACAAAATCCCTCAGTCAGGGTATCCGGTCTCTCGTCTGTCTCTTGAAACTGGGACCACCCGAATATGAAGGTGGACTTAACAAGGAAAAATATTGGCGCGTTAATATAGAGATCTTGTCGGCCAGAGGTATTCTGAGATGGCCGATTAAAAAAAAACATCCGAGCAACGCTCTCAATCGAACTTGAACTCTGGGTGACTACTTTGAGCACCTTCCGCGACGGGTTACATTTTTTGCAGGGACCCGGTTAATAAAAATCGGTGTATAAACCGTGGTTTCATATCAGAAAATCTGAAGCGCCTAGTGAGAGGATCGTTTGTATATTTTTGTTGTAATCGATTTCTAAAAGAACCTTTAATAGCAAACTTGGATTCTTGTGTAGTACTCAAGTATAACTTCATGAAGAAATGACGCATTTATAAACTTCCACTGGATTCGACAATCAACAAACCACAGTTAACATACTATTCATAAAAATAGAATAGTAGATGTATAACGAAATAAATAAGTGACCTTGGGGGAATCTATATACATTTTTTTATTCTATAAGCATTTAACTTCGTTATCAGCAGTTAGGTTTAAGTCGTGAGAAATTCAATAAAGACATTGTTTAACTCCTACAATGAAAATATAAAAATGCCTGTAATTTTCTTACAACTATGGTAATGTGTAAGTTATCAACCTATATACCATTAAGGGTGTGACGTAATTATTTCAATTCCAGTTTCGCCTGAGTTAATTCTGTCGCCTTTCATCACTGGGATAAAATGTATTTGTGAACAACTTAATGCGCGTTTCATGTAACAAACAGCAATGATTAATTATACTGTATATGAATGGACTGTCTTTTTAGATCATGATATAAAATTAGTTTTAGACAACCAGAAAATAGTGACTGAAGACAGCCACTATGAAAGTGTCAATTGGTTACCTCGTTTTCCTCTTTTGGACGCAGCCTTGTGAAAACCTCTCAGTACGTAGGCTAACACATTATTAGAGCCTGCAACGTTTAACGCAAAATATCAAGTAAACAACTTTCTGCATAATATTTTTGTAACCTGTGCCAGGAAATGTCAGCATAAGCTAATAAATACAGAGGTGTTCTGTGCATTAATGACGTACAGACCATATGGAATAAAGAAACGATAGAAGAATACTGAGAAATGCAAAATATCTACTTCACTATTTCTACTGAAACAAAGGCTAGCTCAGTATAAATATGATTCCTGTATTAACTGATGGTTAAAACCGTTTATCAAAGGACAGACTAGGAGGCTCCTGATAACTCTTGTCATTATTCATTATTTTATTATTCACAGCAGAAATAAAAGTAACAATTAGCGATTGCTCATTTTCTGCAGTAAGAATTTCTTATTCTTTTGTATATTACATCTGGTTCTACATGGAAGAAAGAAGACATGAGAATGAACTGACCGCTATAAAATTTTCATTTAAACTCAAGCATTTATTATGAAAAATAAATATTTACGAAAGAAAATCTACATATATGAAAACTTGTTTTTAAATATGAATTCAGTATAAATATTGCATTAAAATGTGTATCAAACGCGATGTCGAGAGCCATCATTGCCGTCTAGTCCCTTCCTTTGATTCCAGCATCTTCCCCCAGTGAAGGCTTCAACATGCAAGTATACGTAATAATAAGAGGAGAATAAAAAGTACAATACACACATAAAAATTCCAACACTCAATATTACACATCATATCAATGGTAATAATAATAAATAACAAACTCCCACTGTGGAAACATGTTATAATTCTCACCGCTAGAAATTTCTTAATCTTTTCATCTAAAATGGCTTGTTCTTTCAATCTGTCGCCCATACTCTCAGCAGGGTACCCTGGAAGAGACATAAGTGTTAGGACGTGATGAACATCATCTGGAGAGCTGCCTCAGTAACCATGGGAGCAACAACTTGTTTGTATCTTCAAGACACAGAAACAACATGACAACTTACACTTTATTTAGTCCGAAGATAACAGACACCACGATTGTAGCTGTGTTGTAACAAGTTTGGTGGCGACGAAAAATGGTAATTTAACCCTTTCAATGTCCAAAACAAGATGTCTCTTTCAAAAACCATACTATTTGCGCGTTTCATTGTATGCTTTTAAGGGAGTTTACTTTTACGAGCTTCAAAGTATTTGCGACTGTTTGTAATGGAGATTTGAAACAAAGCATGACATTTATTGATTTTAAGTCGACATGGAAAGGGTTAAATACTAATATGAATTTAGCAAGTAGCAAGTACAACGTACCTGAATGTACTGTTTTGACGTTCGCCTAGGGAGATAAGTTTAACAGTTCAATTTTTTAAGATGAATATTGAATCCAACGTAAGAAATGTTAATATAATAAACTACACATTACAATCTGGTGCCTACTTCCTTAATGATGGACTTACAGGATGCATATTCGAGTTGTAAACATCTGCTTACAAGGATTAGAGAGTTTATGCAATACATTCTTGATTCCTTTTGAACGCGATGTCATGTGCCAAACGGAAGATATCTGAGTGAGCGTATAGTTGAAATATCCTGAGCATTGTGTTTCAAATGGTAAAATTCCAAAAGTTTCTGCAATAAAAAATTTGGTGCAATTTGAAAATACGTTATCGGTTAATATTGTTAGTTTCATTTTTCTACTGTTTTCAGTACTTTTTATATATTTTACCTTTTACCGTCTTGTGATGAACCTGTAATTGTCTCTTGTAGCTGTTCAGTCAGCACGTTAAAGCAAATAATTGAACTGATTTGTTCCTCTGCTATAGTTGTGTTACCCAGATGAAACAACGAAACTTTAAAAATTAATATTACGAACACTTGACAGAACATTTTCAAGAGATAGATTAATTTTCAGTTGTTTTGGTTTAATTTATTATTAAATAATATAATCGGTTTGTTGTCATTGCTGTTATAACTGTGCATCTTAGACATTCATTTGATACATTAAGTTACATATTTAGTTTTTAATAATCCCACCAGTTCTTCGCATGGTACCTGCATTCGAATAGTTACATACTAATAATGTTAATTAGTGTGGTAAAATTGCAAAGTCATTAGCTCAACTTCTGATAGTCGTATTAAATACTGCAATTTTGAAATGTTACTGAAATTGTGTTTTTGGTTTAGTTTTATTTACATTACGCTACTGATTGGTTACTTTAGGAGATAACATGAATTTCTATCTACGTTTTCTTAAATTTGTATCACTACCTACTCAGCACCAAGAGGTTTCAAATATTCGTAAGAAACTTCATAGAATTATTTTCTTTATTCAAGGTTTGTTTAATTTAACTCTAACTTTCGACCACACGCTGATGTTATACTGTTGAACAACAGCATTATTATACTGCAGCTCTTTAATTCCACACAACATGAATGACTAGAAAATTGGAAGATGTATTTCTAAGTTCCACGAAATTAGAAATAATAAATTATTTGAGACAAGTGTCTGAATGTCAATCTTTCCAAATAAGAGTCACGACACACTTATTCGAACTCACTCTTGTTCCAGAGGTATGAGGTTCGGATCTCGGTCAGAAAATCAACTATAGTGAATGAGTTTATCGTGGCTTCCATAAAAATTTGGATATCTTCGAATAAGACTTTGTTACTTCCTTCCAAATACATGCCAATTCCTTCTTCATGATAATCTTAAAATTTCTTATTCGACCATATTGACTACAAACAACCTAACTGATACACCTCCATTTAATAAACCAAGACCACAGGTATGAAGATTTTGAATCGTTTATCATAGTTTTACGACTAAATTTTTAAAAAAGTACATAAGGGTGAATACATAGCACAGACGCAGGCTTACATTAGGATATAGTTGGAAAGATTTTCGCAATACATTTTAGATACAGGATACTTAATTGTAATAAAAAGTAAAAAGAGAATTTTTAGGAAATATTTTCTCATGTTCGTGCAATAGTATCGACCAAGAAATAAACAAAAGTGTTTAGTTTTTAAATACCGATATTTCAAAAAAGGTAAATATATATATTTTTTTAAATTCCGCTTTAAAAAAACACTGTTTTCAAAGTAAAATATAAAGTTGTCGTTTTGATAATTGCTCATGCTTTTTGTTCTGGTTTATTTTGTCATGTTAACATTACTTACGAACTAGTAGTCAGCCGTCACCCTACCTCAGCAACAAGTCACAAAGACGTATAGGGGTACAGAGGAAAATCTACACGAATTTTAACACTTGATGAGGTGTGTTGCTTTATGCTAGAGGAAAGAAAATCAAGAACCCACCCGATAGTAGGCATAATATATTATTCTAATATACACTAGCATCACGGTTAATGACACTTATTATACTCAAACAGCCGTTTCCAATTACTCCCACAGTACAGAGTCATCCTACTGACGTTGACAATTTTAACCCCAATCAATAAACTGCTGCAGTTATGAAAACTGAACGTTCATGGTTATTAACGCAAGGACTCTGCACTGGACTCTGTACTAAAGATGGCTGTCTTCTGGGTTGTTGTACCGTGTAATCTCGTAGAAGTTTACACACATTTCAGAGGTCCTTGCTGCCTCCATCATCAGGGCTATTCTCATCGCTCTGATGATGGAAGCAGCAAAGACCTCTGAAACGTCTGTAAACTTCTACCAGACTACACGGTACAACAACCCAGAAGACAGCCATCTTTATACTCACCGCCGTGAAAACCTCAAATCCTACAACCCTGTACTAGTTAAATTAATCTATTTTACAACTCCACAACACATTTGTTTATAAAGGACCTCTTATATAATCATGAGATATTCTACATTTCTCCAGACTTGGCTCATATTACTATTTTGTTGCTCTGATGGCAGTGACCCAAGTATTCGATGCGGATTTCACTGCGCCAAAAAGATTGCCTAACTCATCCATTTTAAAACCTTTCAACAAGACAAGACGAACTAGCCAAACAATGCAGACTTTCTGTATTCTATGTAGGGCACGTCTGACATGCAAGAAATGAATGAAACTATAACCTCCTCACGCATAGGAAAAATGATCTTAGAGTGTTCAAACCACACAAACAAACAAGTAAGAAGTACTGGGAAGAATTTATAAAATATTCTTTCAAATCCTTTAATCTGCTATGTATGATGCTTGTAATAGATAACATGCAAAATTCCGGGTATGTTTATGATCTATCTCCACACACATGCCTAGTTCATACTGTTTAGTAGCTATCGCAACTGAACACAAATCTAAATATAGGTCTAGATTTTATTACGCAACCATATTTTGTTTACATGCCATAAAATGTGGTATGGACAAACCTGGATATTTTACGAAGGAAATTTTCCACATCAAATTTCACCGTGTGAAGTCTCCCACTTCATATAATCCATTCTAGCTACGTATACCGCCCATTTCATCATCATTGAATAATTAATAACTCAAATTTTCTTTATTAAAGAGTGCAGATAGAAAGCTTACAATGAGAGACCACGTTCAGTTCGTAAAAATGTATTGTCCCTGTGTACAACATGCGACATACCAAATGTTCATTCACTTCTCTGGTCACCGCAATAACAACAAGCAACAGACTAACCTCACCTGACCTCTGACACGAAATGAGCACGTCATCCAGCACGTGACACCCAATCGACTGACGTCATACTCGCGTCACATCGGGTGTCTGTGTGAGGAGCGGGGAAGGGAAGGCAGAACCTTTCTCAAAAATCAATGGGAAGCCCTCTGTGACGTCACACTACTAACGGGTTGCGGGGGTGTATCTGCTGGATCGAGATATGAAAGAAGTGAAACAATACAGGGGTAGCAGAAATGTAATTTGATTTTCACGAATTTTTGTAAGGAAAGTAACAAATGCAGGCATTGAGAGAAAGTGTGTGTGTGTGTGTGTGTGTGTGTGTGTGTGTGTCCCTATCTGTATGTCAAAATTTAATTTGTCGCTGTGCTGAAGCATCACTCCACGAAGATGTGTGAGGGAGTGGGTGAATCTTCAACCAGAATTTGTCTCAGCACTAGGATGATGTAAAATATTCAGCTTCACGTCCGGACTGCTTTACCTCAGGACAGGGTGGTCCAACGTTTTCCTCCCTCGGGCCAGAATAGTTTTCTTGTTGGACCCACGGGCCAAGAAACCCCTATTGTCACTATTTTTGCATTGTCGTTATCTTTAATAATACTTATTCAGAAATTGCAAATTACCATTGCATATTCTGAAATATAAATTGTATTTAAATGTGCACAAACTACTATAGAGTTGTATATTATTTTAAATTTGCTCCTGAAACATTTTTTTCTTTCAAATCCTTAAGATTAAAGAAAATAAATGGGTTTGTGCTAACTAGTGACAAATTAACAAATACTTTCGCCGGCCTGATTACAAGTGGTCGCGGGCTGAATCCGGCCCGCGCGCCGCCAGTTGGATACACTGCCTCAGGGGGGAAAACTCTCAAAATTCAATGTTTAAGGAAGCTGTAGAGTCGGTCCCCAGTACTTGACAGGAATGCTAACCACTCGACCACAACGTTCGGCTCCAATAATGAAGGCCAAGCGTTAGTGCTCTCACTACACTGCAGTCAAACCTAATCACACTAGACAGATTAGACATTTGAGTTCATAGCCTATTGCCAGTTTTAAAGATCGCTAAGGGAGCCAGAGAAGATTTTCGAGGCAGTAATTCTCTTTGTCGGTTTTGGTCTTCTGTGTCTTAACTTCGTGAGGACTTGTAGGTATATTCCAACGTTTCGGATAAATATACTGTCTCGAGCTTCAGGAAGTTAACGCCAAATAATATGAGTCACTGTCAGCGACAGCGTCTTTAAATACCCCATAAATAAAACAACACTTTATAATATGATTTCTAGACGGGTGCTATGGTTCTGAGCTTTTTTCTGTTATGTTAGGTTTCGAAAAGGACAGTCACACTGCGTATGTAAAAGATTAATTATCTCACAAGTTAATAACTGAGATCCAAAAGTTATTAATAGCAGTTAGTGAGGTGATCGGTTACGTGCTTGGCGACTTGGGATCGATTTCCAGCAGGGCAGAGATTTCTCTTCTCTCCAAAACGAATGTGTGTATACAAGCGAGTAAAACCGGCTGGAGCATGAATGTAAACATTCATCTTCATTGAGCGTTTACATGTGTGCCTCTTACAGGCTATCCAAGGGTCAATGAACAGTTAACTGGCAAGGATGCGGAAGGAAGCAACCATAGTATAATTTAAGGTACTTTCCCAGTATACGAAGCAAGCATGCTAACCACTCGGTTTTATGTTCGGTCAGGACTTAACCGACTTAGTCTGAGTCAGAACAGTATAATAGTATCAAATGTTGTAGTCGTGCACTCGTAGTTTATTTTAAGGTATTATGGTCGGGGCTAAGGTAAACCATGAAAACTTCAGACAGAAAAGTCTACGTACTGGCCGAGATTCGAACCTGGTATCTGCCAAATACAATTCAAAAGCGTTACCATTTAACAAAATTTCTCGATCACTTTCAAAAGGAAGAACGCATTCTAATATAAAATAATGACTAAAATGTTATGGGCATCAAAACGTGCAAACTAACCAGGAGTTTTAAAACACAACCAGCATTACTCAAATGTTTTAAAGAAACTAATTTCATAAGTTACATTCATCCTTGAGTAAGGACGGTCTGCCAGTGCATGCTTATGTGCTAAATCCTGTTTCTGTATTTCATATCACAAAATTTAAAGATATTTTAACACATTATTGCTATTTCTTTCCGTGGACCTCTTGGCTTCAAACTGAGATTTGTACTCTGTATATTTAACATATTAATATTTACTTATCGATGTTTCATGTCCTTATAAGACCTAATATTAATCCTTTTAAGCCAAAACTTGTCTAAACAATAGGTTATTTGAAACATTAGTCTCTACCTCAAAGAAAGAACACTTCTCTATTACAAGGAACAGTTGGTTAATGCCATTTTTGAAAATGATAGCTGTTTATTCTTAGATACATACGTAACCCATTAATACTCTCTGTGGATAAAATATAGAGTTGCCAATTATTCAAGCAAATTGTACATACAGGTACCACTGAGCTTTAAATGTTAACATACCGGTAGATGTATTTACTACTACGCTCATTAATAAAATACAGACTTTTAAAATGGAACGGTAGAAATGACGGTAATAAATTATCATTATAATGAAGTACAATATTAATATTATCTGTGCTTAATATGTGTGTGTCTCTAAAAGCAGAAGCCTATCCCACGAATTTTAATTTTCACGTGTTGTAATAACCAATGCTCAAATATTACTTCTGTCTATACAGATACTGAACTGCCTATTTACAAAGTGGGTCAAAAGGTCTTTATGTGTCTGTTGCAGCTGTAATGAAATAAACGTCAGATATTAACACGTTCCATAAATCCTTGCTAGTAAAATGACAGTCTTCCTACTCACCCTTGTCGCTGTCGTGTTCTTCGCAGCTGGTGCACTCGGGGGTCGATCTCAGCTCATCGTCAGAGCTCGAGAAGGATTGTTGATGCTGTGACTGCTGATGGTGTCTCGAAGAAGTCACCAATTGTTGCTGAGATTGCTGCGAAGCGGTGGAAGACGGATGGTGCGCATGCGTCTTCTTACCAGAACCGCTTCTCCTGTGTTTCTTATTATTTCCTCCTGGCACCATCATCATCGGCGCACCACTATTTCCACGCATTGCTGCAGTGGGCGGACATGACGTCATATCCATGGAAGAAGACTGTTCCGAGCTTAAAGAATCGTTCCTAAAACCACTACCAGCACTTACACCACCACTACCACTGCCTCTATGAACGATTTCACTCCCGTAAATCCCAGAACCGTGAAGATGTTGAAGTTGTTGACTCCGCATCAGATCCTCCAGTTCACTACGATAGTATCTAGGGTCATCTTCGTGGTACAGCTGTTGAAAACTTTGTCCACGATCCACAGATGGTTCTCTGACTCTGCCTGTATGTCTCTGAGAAGGTGAGATGACGTCCACGCCACTGTCACTCGCTGACATTCGACGTCCCGACATCGTTGCCTGGTCTTGTTGCGAATACTGACGAGTAAGTACGCTTCCTGAACGCACTAACGGCACGTTCTCTTTTTCCGCAGCGCTGTGAGCTCTCTCGAGTTTCGGACGCTTGTCTGTTGGCGTCGTAAGCGTGGGTGTAATATCTTCTGGCCTCTGATGAAGATCTGCCTCTATTTGGTGCATGATGGCGTCGCCGGCGGCCATTCCTTTGTTGATCCATTGACCCGTTTTACTTAAGAGTTCCTGTTTCTTTCGGCAGAGAATACACACCCATATTACCTGTAAATAGCAACAGTTCTGAGTTAGCATTTTTATCAAACTCAATAAAGGAGAATATACTGTCAAAATAAGAAACGCTCCAATTTTGATAACTCAGTATTTGGATCGTTATTTCGATTTGGCATATTTCAGTGGTCGCAAAATTTACTTATGATATATCCTAGTGCTTATGTAGCTGCGATCACTTGGCTCGGCGCGGAGACCAATGGCGGGATTTTGTGAAAACGGTCGTGAATCTGTTGTGTTCTTCCAAATGCAGAAGTTCGTACGACTGTCAAAGTTATTTTACTTTTACAGTTAAAAGATCGAGCTGGTTCGGAAGGTGCGCGACAGCCTACATTACAGCCACAGTTTCACGAAAACCAGGAGAGTTATTGTCCATAATTGACATTCGTATAATTAATAAAAAGACGTACAGTCAGACAGACACTTGCAATTGATTCATTCGGATCCTCGCTTTTATGACATATGTGATTTTATATATTTTATGCTAAAGCTTGTATAATTAATATACAAAAATTCAGTTCTTATATCAAAGAAAACAAAACAAATTCTCCATTACAAATTCCAGTTGGTTAATAATGTTTAAGAAAATAATGATTTCTTATTCTGAGAATCATATGAAGCCTAAAGTCAATGGCAAAATGCAGAGATAATGATTCTTAAAGCAGCTGGTTCATGTAATGACCACTGGGTTTTAGAAGGTTAAAATAATATTTCGTACTGAGCTTCAATAAGCCTGAATGGGGCAGAGTTGTCGAGAAACGAAAACTAAGATAACTGGTTGGCGATCGTGTTGTAGGGAAGATCATGATGTGACTTGGGAGGTCAAAGCTTGATTACAGCTATTTTCATCAAGAAGACAGAGAATCAGAAGAAGGAGGTAAATGTGATGATTTGTTTAATTTCTGTTGTACAAAGAGAATAAAATAATGAGATCATCGAAATTATTCTACCTAGTTGTTAGGTGAAATGTAGTATCTTGAAGATTTATGTCTTCTGGGTTGTTGCGCTTTGTAGTCTGGTAGATGTTTACCTGATGACGGAAGCAGTATGACCTCAGAAACGTTGGCAAACATCGACCAGACTACACAGCGCAACAACCCAGAAGAAAGAAATCTTCATACTCTGATGACGGAGGCAGTATGGCCTCTGAAACGTTGGTTAACATCGACCAGACTACACAGCACAACAATCCAGAAGACAGAAATCTTCATACTCATCGCCCTGATGACGGAGGCAGTATGACCTCTGAAACGTTGGTTAACATCGACCAGACTACACAGCACAACAATCCAGAAGACAGAAATCTTCATACTCATCGCCCTGATGACGGAGGCAGTATGACCTCTGAAACGTTGGTTAACATCGACCTGACTACACAGCGCAACAACCCAGAGGACAGAAATCTTCATACTCATCGCCCTGATGATGGAGGCAGTATGACCTCTGAAACGTTGGTTAACATCGACCAGACTACACAGCGCAACAACCCAGAAGACAGACATCTTCATGCTCGCCGCTGTGAAAACCTCAAATCTTACATAGTTTCTTGTTGTCTGCATAGAACAGTAAATTTTGATGCTCGGTGCAGTTACTTTGCACGAAGCCTAAATTTAACTTAACAATTTCTCAACAACAGTATTTGAAATCAATACCAATAGGTACTCAAATCTGAAATTATTCATTTTCGAATAATCTAACTGTTGTACTGGCAACATTCGCATCGATTTACATTGCTATTTTACGTTTACCGCTCACATATTCCTCCAGAACGAAAGAAAATTTGCGTTAGAACTTTAAAATCTGTAAAGAAAAAATTGTATAATACATGCTTTATTAAAAGTGTGCATGAGATAGTTCGTGTTTTTCGGCATTTGCTATCATCTCAGGATCGTGCCCTCGAGAATATGGAAAATATGCATGTAAAAGTATTTTCTGCATCATCAAGAGCTTAAACTACATCGGGCTCAGTTTAATCACTGGTTGACTTCTAACGATACTCCACTTACAATTATCTTATTTTAAAGTCGAGGAGCGGTTGGCAGTTATGCCTTGTACCAAAAAGTGAAATTTTCGTAGAGAGTCAAAGTGTCGGGCCGAGACCGAAGATGAAAGAGTTGATTATATGCCATAGGCTCGACTGACAGTGAACAACTAAGTACAGATAATCCGCATTCAAACTGCCACGAAGAGATAAGTATGCACTCCGCAACACATCCGCGCGCCGACAGACTGGTCCATTTACTAGCGTGACGTCATAGACCAGGATATGACGCAATGTATTGATCTCTTCAGATGAACACGCCCTCCTTTCCTAGCCATTATCTCTCTTAGCACTCCAGATTCATGATCTGGATCACACACAAGATAAAGGTCCCAGATACCAAGTTTTGACGCTAAAATTTGACTCCTAAATATTGTTAACATTTACTCCGTTTTATTAAAGTTTTTCCGGAACGCTATTAACCGTATGGCTTGCACAGATGTCGAATACCGGTTGCAGGTAAGTTTGTCCTTTAGCGCTATTATTATTATTTAGTGTTCTGTCTGACGACAGGTCCATTGTTCTGCCCAAAAAGAGTTCGCCAGTTTTCCCTATTCACAGCTTCTCGTTTTAAACTAAAAGCTGTCCCACTATACGCCATGTAGGCGCTTGGGGGGAGTGGAGGTATAGCTCCTCTCTTCCTTGACCTCGGCACTAGATGGGGGTGAGTGGTCAGCATCACGCTTTACCCCCGGGAAAGGACCCCGGTATCCATTGTAGAGGAGGCTGGGTGGGCCCCAGAGCCTGTCTGGACGCAGAGGCTAGAGGAAAAATCCTCTGCCCCCATCGGGGATCGAACCCCGGTCGTCCGGCTCGTATATTAAAATAACACCACACATAACCAAACGGGTCGTGCATTAGGGGATACAGTAGTCGCTCAGATATACGTAAATAAACACCATGTCAAAGTTAACTGTGATTCTCACTGCTACGCTGTAATTAACAGAGTAAATAACATATATGTATTAATTTTAGAAGAATAAGACCTGGTACTGAGAGAGATTTAATCTAAACAGGAATTTCCAAAACCGGAAATCTCGGGAAGATGCGTGGAAAACTCTGGTCAAATTTGCATCATACATTCCCTGAATCACAACAATCCTATCTATCTTCATGCTAATTTTCACCTTCATATCGCAAACTCTGCTTTTGCAAAAGAGACCCTGACAACAAAGCATTATTAACAGTGGCGAATTGTGGTCCAGAAGTGTGGTCGGGCAGAAATGCAGTATTATTAAAAACCCAAAAACATCGCACATAACGCAGAGAGGGATTATTATTATTATTATTATTATTATATCCCATCTATTCACCACTTTATGGGGTATGTACTCCCATGTACCCGAGACAAACCTTGCTCCTGAGATACATAGTGCAGCAGCTATTTCCGAAATACATTTTGTTTTTAAAATGTGTTACATGTATTACAAATTTTTATTGTTAGAGATGACTACATATTTTACGACATCGTCTTTCGAATGATGTAATTTTACATTATTTTTGAATCTGTATTCTTGGAACCAGATATATATATGTACGCTTAAAACTTTGCATACCGTGTAGTGTATTAGAATATAAAATAAGCAAACAAACAAACAAACTATTAACACTATAAAAAAGACACTAGTGCCATACGCGTTTCAACCTCAAGAGATCATCATCAGTGGCAACAGGGAAATTAATTCATTCCTTGATGCTACTGATGATGACCTCTGGAGGTTGAAACGCGTATGGCACTAGTGTCTTTTTTATAGTGTTAATAGTTTGTTTGTTTGTTTGCATATTTTATATATACGTACGATAAGACAGTTTTTCGGTTTTAGACGTGTTTATGATCGGCTTGCCTTGTTTGAGCGAAGGGGGACTTTCCCGCCGCATCGAGCACAGCAACGGATGTTGCAGTAGTTGCAGATATGCCCCACTCCGTCCGCGAACTTCGTCTTGAGGCAGATGTGGCACGTGGCATCCAGCTCCACGCCCGCTTTCTTCTGCTGCTCGCTTCTCTGCCGTATTGTGTCCTCCAGGACCTGGACTTCGTCTTGTTTCCGCCTGCAGATCATGGAACACGCGGGGATTCAGAACTGATTCCCGAATCTAAACATCGTCTGCTTTGAATATCTTGATATAAACGCAAATCTCTGTTTCGTCTCTCCAAGTTATTTATAAGAATGTCGATGAGATTTCGCAGTGAGATTTACACTTAATAGATGTCAAGGAATGTTAGCAGTTACAATTATTAAAATGTTCACCATAAAAAGAATCCTGTTTTCGAGCAATAAAACGTAGCGAAACATCTTAAGGAAGGATTATTTTAAAACATTTATTGTACACTAACGAAAGCCGAATAAACCAGAAGGGACTTAATTCTTCTACGTTTTATCACTCTAACATTTGTTGAGTACAAATTAAGAAAATCCTCTCCACTAAAGAACCTGAAAATCTCAGTAACTAAACTGGCTAAGGGGTTGTCACTCGGGGTTCAGTTACTTGTAGAGACAGGTCCACAGTGACCGCGCGGTCTGAGGCGTGGGCCTTGTGCCGCTTGGTCGCTGGGACCGTGGGTTCGAATCCCACTCAAGCCATGGATGTTTTTCTGTGTTCTGCTGTCCTGTGTACAGGTAGAGGCCTTGCTACGGGCCGATCCCTCGTCCAAAGAGTCCTACCGACTGTCTATCAGATCAAGCCAATGAAAAAGTTGGGACCCGCAGTGCTCAGGCACTTGAAGAACGGGTCGTTCTTAGTATCCCAGGATCCAGTAG